TATCTGCTGAAATTAATAAAGTTAAAGACCTCTTGAACAAAGAACAAACTGTTTTAAAGCTTTGGGCTAAATCTCACAAAAATGCTAATTATGTTATTTCTGCTCAAATACCTCATTCATGTGATAAAATCCTTGGGGGAAATTTTGCTGAAGCTGAAAAGGTTTTTAAATCTCAAGAAAAGGAATCTGAATTTTATTCCATGAATGAATTAAAAGATAGTTTCAAAAACAAATTTATCAGCAACACCTTTATTAATCAGAGTCTCATTGATGAACACTGTGTTACTGATTCTAATGGTGTTACTGAGAGTAATATTGAAATTACCGGAATTGATCCTACTTCTTACCCTGCACATCTTGAGAGACCAACTCCTCTCACTGAAAATATTATCGCATTTCCTATCTCAAATGGAGTGTTTCATGCTGTTCATGAACAACTTAAACAATATCCTGATTGTAGTGTTTCAGTACATAAGTCTAAATCTGATACTTATGTCAGCTCCTCATCCATCACTGATTTTAGTTCTCCTGACACTGAATTCTTTAGTAATTCAACGTCAAATAAAAGGACTCAAAGTTCACTTGGTGAATCTTTCAAATATAAATGTGTTAAATCTAGAAATGTGCTTACCAAGAAAAACTTTGGTACTAGAATTTGCTACAGATGTGGTGACACGACTCACAAAATCAGTGAATGCAAGTTTGATAAAACATCATTAAGAGCTGATAACATCAAAGTTAGAAATGAAAGATGGACTCTTAAATCAAATTCTTTAAACTGTCTTCCTAAAGAGTGCTATAATATATTGTCAAATAACTTTGTGAATGACCCATCTTACAATGGGTCAGTGTGTTCTAACTAGTTTCTCAGCACTGCAGGGTCAGGAGCATCTTTGGTACTTAGATAGCGGTTGCTCAAGACATATGATAGGATCCAAGTCTCTCCTGGAAGACTATGTCAAGAAAACTAGTCCTACAGTAACATACGGAGACAATGGAAAGGGGTTTACTAAAGGAAATGGAAACATCAAGTGCAATAATGTGGTGTTTCAGAATGTTTCATATGTAAAGGATCTCAAACACAATCTCATCTCAATCAGCCAATTGTGTGATGCTGATTATGAAGTTCATTTTACAAAGAAGGAAGGAAGAGTTATTAACACTGACAAGAACATTGTATTCTCAGCAAGTAGAAAACATGATATATATATATATATATATATATATATATATATATATATATATGTTCTTGACATGTTCTCAAGTGACAAGGCGCTGATGCAATGTTTCTTTACAAAGTCTCAAACCAATCTCAGCTGGATTTGGCACAAAAGGTTCTCTCATTTGAACTTTAAGAATCTATCCAAAATATCCAATCAAGATCTAGTTAGAGGTCTCCCAAAACTTAGCTTTGTCAAAGACAAGATGTGCTCAGCGTGTGAACAAGGAAAACAAACCAAGTCGTTATTCAAACCCAAGTCATGTTCTAGCATATATGTTCCTCTTCATTTATTACACATGGACTTGTTTGGACCTATTCCTGTTCGTTCCCAAGGAGGAAACAAGTATACTCTAGTGGTTGTGGATGAGTTTATTCGATTTACATGGGTGGTTTTCTTGAAGAAGAAAAGTCATGCTGTACAGGAAATTATCTCGCTGATTCGTCAAAATGAGACACTGATTGGTCTCAAAGTTAAGCAGCTAATGAGTGATCATGGCACTGAGTTCCGGAATTCAACTCTTGAAGAATTTTGTGATTATAAAGGCATTGGGCAGAACTTTTCAGCTCCTCGCACACCTTAAAAAAATGGAGTTGCTGAACGAAGAAATCGAACACTGATTGAGGCAGGAAGGACCTTAATGATTCATGTTGGTCTTCCTATGTCGTTTTGGGCTGAAGCTGTTAATACAACATGTTATACTCAGAATCGATCTCTAATTCACAGGGTTCACAAGAAGACACCATATGAGATGCTGAAAAGTCGAAAGCCGGACGTATCCTTCTTTCACGTGTTTGGATGCATTTGTTATATTCTTAATCAATGCGATTCCAGATCAAAATTTGAGCCTAAGGCTGACAAAGGTATTTTTGTTGGATACTCATCTATTTCAAAGGCTTTTCGTGTTTTTCATGTGAACAGGCAGTGCATTGAAGAATCCATTCATGTAAAGTTTGATGAGGAATCATACACTGATGAAAAAGTAACTCATTCTTCCTCTATTTTTCAATAGCTTCTCTCTTGCCCATATGATGAAGTTTCTCATACTGAAGAAGAAGCTATTATTCCTGATCCTATCATTCCAGATCCAAATTCTGTAAATCAAGATACTGCGGTCAGCTCGACAACTCATTTGTCCGATGCTGATGAAACCCTTGAGACTGAAGATTCTCCTGCAACTGATGTTCCCTTCAGCAATAACACTTCAATGTCAAATCCAGTGGAATCAGCTTCTGGACATCGAGATCACCCTGTTGATCAAATTATTGGGAATCTTCATGATGGTGTCCGAACCAGATCTCGTGTATCTAATAAGTTTTATATGTACGTTAATTTCGTTTCAATGATTTTACCTGACAAGATACACTCAACTCTTCAAGACGCTGACTGGATTAAAGCCATGCAAGAAGAGCTGAACGAGTTCGAAAGCCACAAGGGTTGGACTCTTGTTCCCAGACCATCAGGAAAGACCATCACCGGAACACGCTGGGTCTACCGCAACAAGGTTGATAAATATGGTATTATTACTCACAACAAAGCAAGACTTGTTGCTCAGAGGTTCACTCAAATTGAATCCATCGACTACGGTGAGACTTTTGGTCCAGTTGCCCGCATTGAAGCAATCAGACTGTTTCTCGCATACGCTTCATACATGAACTTCATTGTCTACCAAATGGATGTCAAAACGGCATTTCTTCATGGTGAGTTACAAGAAGAAGTATTTCTCAAACAGGCCCCAGGCTTTGAAGACAAAGAGCACCCTGACTATGTAACCGACTAGATAAAGTTGTATATGGACTGAAGCAAGCTCCCAGGGCCTGGTATGAGACACTGACATCATATTTTCTTGAAAATGGCTATAGAAGAGGAGCAATTGATCAAACAGAAAGGCTCAGAAATGATTCTTGTTCAAATCTATGTCGATGACATCATCTTTGGATCTCCAAATGAGAAGCTGAGCAAAGAATTTGCTGAGATCATGTCTCAAAGGTTCGAAATGAGCATGATGGGGAAGATGAATTTCTTCTTAGGTCTTGAGGTTCAGCAACAAAAATCAGGTATTTCAATTTGTCAAAGTAAATATATTGCCGACATGCTAGTTAAGTACTCTCTCAGCGACTGCAAACCAGCTTCTACTCCGGTGTCTAAGACTGATAAGCTACACACTGATCCCACCAGCACTGATATTAATCACTCTCTTTATCGAGGAATGATTGGATCTCTTCTCTACCTCACTGCAAGCCGCCTTGATATCATGTTTGGAACCCTTCTCTGTGCTAGATTCCAAGCTAATCCCAAGGAGTCTCATCTCATTGCAGTCAAACGCATCTTTCGATACTTAAAGGCCACTTAGAACTTGGCACTGTGGTACCCTCGTGACTCAGCGCTTGAACTCTTTGGATACACTGATTCCGACTATGCAGGTTGCAACTTAGACAAGAAGAGCACGTCAGGTGGATGTCATTTCCTTGGAAATCGACTAATCAGTTGGTCCAGCAAGAAACAAACCTCAGTAGCTATCTCTACTGCAGAAGCTAAGTATGTTGCAGCTGGGAGATGTTGTGCTCAGATCTTATGGATTCAAAATCAACTTTTAGACTATGGGCTTAAATTCACAAAGACTCCTATATACTGTGATAACACCAGTGCCATTCAGATCACACAGAATCCTGTTCAGCACTCAAAGACAAAGCATATAGAGATCAGACATCACTTCATCAGAGACAATGTTGAGAAGGGCAAGGTTGTTTTAACACATGTCAAGACTTCCGATCAACTAGCTGATATTTTCACCAAGGCCCTGGATACTCAAACTAATGCTCACATCATTGGCGAACTTGGAATCATCACTCTTGATTGAAAAATGTTTTACTAATGTTTGCTATTGTCTTATAAACTAATGTTTTTTTTTGTGTTGATGATGATACACTGATGATGTTTAGCATGTTAAGTACATTGTATGATTTCTTATCTCTCTCTCTTCTACAAATCTTCTAAACTAAAGTTGAATGATTCACTGTATTAAACCATACACTGATAACAACTTGAAACTCTTTACCGATGGTTAGAAAAAAACACCAAGTTCTATCACATGCAACTATCCCCTCTTACCAATCGTACACTGATTCTGTGATTCGGTGTGACAAAACACATACTGATGAGAATCTAAAAGCCTTTGCTGATGGTTAGACAAAACACCAAGCTCTATCACACGCAACTATCCCCTCTTACCAATCTTACACTGATTCTATGATTCAGCGTGACAAAACACATGCTGATGAGAATCTACCAGTCTTTGCCGATGGTTAGACCAAAACACCAAGGTCTATCACACGCAACAATCCTCTCTTTACCTTCTTCTCACTAAGTGTCTAATGATTCAGTAAGAAATACCACTCACTGATAAAGACTCGACACTCTGTGCCGATGGTTAGATAATTAAACCAGTATCTATCACACGCACCAATCACCAAGTTGTACCTTGAATTGACGACAAACTATCATTTAGCATGTAACTTTTTGTTACAATGATCTCAGCGCTTCCGCAGACACTGATTGTCGTTTCATCTTCAGTACAACAGCTCTTTTTACCCAACGACTATTTTTTTGATTTGACAGTCTGTCAAGATACGTAGTTATTTTCGATAAAGATAATCATTACTTTTTTTTTATTACCGTTTCATCTCCTATTTAATTCCCTAAACCTTTTCACCTTCCTCCAAACTTCTCTCTCTCTCTTAAAAAAAAACACAGAAAACCCTGGAATCCTAAATTTCTTCAATGGCGGCATCACTGTTCACTTTCTCCTCCACTTCAAGAAGAGTCGTTCCAGCTCCAAACTCTCCTCCTCTTCCCATATACATCAAAGCCACAAATGTCATTTTCAACCCTGATATACCAGATGTTCATCGAGGTCTTGGACTTGATGATTTTGTTAATTTCTTAGTCTCCTGCCGACTTCGATACGCAATCAGTGACGTTCCATCAGAGTTCTTTCCCAAACAAGTTTGTGAGTTCTACTATACTACAACGGTTAATGATGAAAACAACATCATCTCCGGGACTATTGGGCCTGGCAGACACTCAGTTTTTATCACCGCTGATCTCCTCAGTGCTGCGCTCAGGTTACCACTCTTTGAACCATTCTCTGAGCTTCCAACTATTGAACGCTGTCGATGCCTCTTTTGATCAACTGGCTATGATCACTCAAAGGCTGGTGCTCGATCAGCTCTCATTTTGCGTCAATGTATG